GACCACGTCCCATTGGATGGTTGGATCCATGTCCGCCCCCCAGGTCGATGTTCGCTGTCGATTCACAAGGACGAGGGGCTCAGCACCATCTCCCACCGAGGAGGAAGAAAGAAGCTCGATCCGATATCCCCCACTATGAATGGCGCTCATGGCCCAGGAAACGTTAAGCAGCATGCCCGCTCGAAGAAGAGTCGTGGGGCTATTTCTAGTGTGCTGTACCCCGCAAGGAGGACTCACTTCTTGGCTAAGAAGATAGTCGTTCCAGTTGCGAGAGGGTGGGTAGACAAGCCTGACGTGAGCTGACACTTGCTGCCATTGCTGCAGCTGGTGTAACATAAACAGGAAGACGAAGAGTTTGGGCACAAGGAGCCGGACTGCAGAATAGTGAAGGCCAATCCGAATGGACGGATCGAGCGGTTCAACTCCGCCACCATGTCTCTCGAAAAGCCGGCTGCTTCTGAGTGATTGCTGACGCAGCTTCACAAGTCCCTGTGCAGCAGCACAAGTAGTAGCCGACCGTCCACGGACACGGCTGCCGGCTCCATTGCATCCATGCGATGAGGGTCTGCAGCTCGCACATTTGTGAATGACACGTGTCTGTACCTCTTGATGCCGACGTTCAGCAATAGACGCGTAAGAAACACCCCCAGCCATCGCAATCCGGAAAGCCGACTATCTTGTCCTTGACAGAGGTTCTCTCGGCCGCTGCCAGGGTAGCAGACCTCTCTTCAACAAAAAGAATAGACCTTGAGGATAGCTGCCAGTGCATATGCGAGTGTACGCTTGCGCCCTCAGTGGGCGTGGGAATATACGCTTGCACCGTTGTCTCCGTATCTCCACGTGTGTGTGCTTCGCGTGGGAGGGAGAGTGTGTGTGAGCATGAGTCAGTGCGCATGCATGGGTGAGTGTGTGCGCGTGCGTTTGCGTGTGTGCTTAATGACAGTGTGTCCGTCCAATCACAAAGAGAGCAGACGTCAAGAGTCAACACCTACGCACAACGTCCCCGCCCTCTCCCTGAGCGAGTACTTCTCTCTTCTGCGACAAAGATAAAAGGACAAGACGACCAACGGCGATAAGACGCTGCCTACCGATGACATGAGGGCCCATGGTCATATTTATCCAGGATGTTCCCACATGTAAGCGGGGCGGGACATACATACCTCGCCTCGGTGCTTTCACGCGACGGGAAGTGACAGCTAAACTGCCCTGCGAAGAAATTAGAGCGTCCTGCCTCCATAAACCTGACGCTATGTCCTGCGCGGAAACAAAGGGCGGAAAAAAGGCGAACAGAATCCCCTGTACTCGGTCTGGTGCATCCGTGACGATTAGCTGGCTCAAGAGATGAGACTGTCCTGTCCACCTATAGTCAAAAAAAAAAAAATAGTCAGCCTTCCGCCTTCCCCCCGACTGGCACACCGGTTCGTACGTTGACTTCGTTTTTCTTTTTTGTTTTTATCCCCGTCGAATCTGGACAGGACGGCCTTTCAGGCCTTTTTTATTGTACTTCAGTATTAGGCTTGGATCCCACAATCTGTAGTGAGGGGCGTGCGTCATACAAACCTACTGTTTCTACTGTCAATGTGGGACGTGTCGTGCAGGCCGACACCCGAGCCCTGAAGCGGTGGGGACTTTCCCAGAAGTGGGCAGCCCCATCCCTGCCCCCAGAAAGTCGGCAGGCCGGTAGGATGTTTTATGTCTCTCTTTTTTTCCGATAGGGACCAACCAAAATTCAGAGGTCCCTCGCACGGCCACCGCTTTTCGCCCAACCAAAATTCAGAGGTCCCTCGCACGGCCACCGCCTGTGGGACTCGAAAAAGCTTATACGGTCCGAAAGGCCAGCTGCCTGCTTTTGAGGATCCAAGCCTTACTGGGAACCCCGTAGCAGCCACGACGGAACATGCGGGAGCTGCACTCAGCATGTGGGCGATACCGGCCAGGGGTCAGGACCGAGCTTTGTCGATGGGACAGTCACTGTGCCTCCCCTCCGGTCCCCTCCCCCTTTGAACATCAACAGAATCAACAGAGACTCTGCTCAATGCCACTCGGGTGGACCAACGGCATATCTCTAGGTGGTAGGTGTCAAGCTTGCCCAGGAAGGTACATGAGGCCAGTGGGGATTGAACCCAAGACCTCCTGAATGCCACTTGTGTGCCTTACCAACTGAGCTAGGCCGTTTGATCTACTTCTTCTTCTTTGTTCTCTTTTTTTTTCCAACCTTGAGGTGACTTTTGGTCTTTTTTGTTTTTTTAAATTACCTGTTGTATCTGGACAGGACGGCCTTCAAGTCCTTTTTTAATGCCACTATAGGACCCCCGTAGCAGCCACATTCGTGCTCAAGCCTCCAGTGTATTCCTCACGTACGGGGACAGGTCATACAAACTTCCGTACGGCCATCCGTACGGGGCCTTCGGTGTATGTCTCACGTACGGGGAAGGGCCGTACAAACTTCCGTACCGCCAATACATACGGAATTCAGGCCCTCCGCACGTGACCATAGGGG